AAATAAGGGAGCTTTGCTGGGAGTTGGAGTCTTCAATGTATTTTCTCTCTATTGGACCTGCCTTTTCTCTTTTCCTCCTATCTCTCCCTTATCTGATGATCTTTGGAGTTACTTCAATCTCTGTTCTGCTCCTTGGTCAGGTCCTAGCACCTTTGTTAGGTGTTCTTTCTAGTTAGGAAATCTAATTTCCTGAAAGAACATTGCTCCATTTCTCCAAATGTATCCTCTGGGTAAAAACTGCTGCTGCCAACTTCTCGGTTTCTGCTAATCACTGGACGGAGGGCCTTACCTTCCTTGCTTTTCAAGTGTGATTCTTTGATGAGTTGCCCAGGTGACACTATCTTCCTGATACACCTTGTATGGGTTGACTATGCCCCTAGGAAGATCTGTTCTAACTCAATGCTCTTGAAGGACAGCTCCCATTCCTGTTTGTCTGATGGAGCAATGCCATTCTCATTCTATCTTTCAGAAATGCCTCAACATTTCCTCTTCCTTGTGGCAAGCATTCTCATTTTCCAGGGTTATTGTGATATAAGTCTGCGAAATGCAAATTTCAGGGGATCTTGGGGGAAAAACATGTACTATGGGTCATCTTCCAATATAGATTTTTAAATGGTTTTCTTTATTTCTACTGTCAGATGTATCACATGCAATTTTGTGTGCATATGTATGTGTGTGTGTACGCACAAACACACACACAGACACCTACCAATTAAGTTAATAAATGAATTGGCAGAATTTTACCATGTGTTTTCTGTCTGCTGTCTTATTTCCTTTGGCATCTGGAAAGACAAAAAAACTCTCCATGGCTTTTATATAATGTTTTCCTGTGTTGATACTGTATGAACTGTGTTTTAAAGATTAATCACTGGGAAATCAAATAAATTCTTGAATGTTTAATGGACCCACTTTACTCATTGGTCTGAAGAATTGAAATATTTTTAGGTTAAAAGCTGTTGTAGTTATTTAAAATGATTTAATAGTAGAGTTTAAGAATTTGTTATTTTTCTTTTTTATGTGTTTTATGTTCATGTAAGTATGGGGATAGTTTATAAGAGGCTTTAGTCAAATTAAGAGGAAACTATTTGAAATCTTTCTTTTACAGCAAAAAATCGTGGGATTGCCATTCCAGTGGATTTGGACAGCCAAGTCAATACTCTTTTCATGAAGAGTCATTCAAATATGGTGCAGAGAGCAGCCATGGGTTGGAGACTCTCAGCTCGTTCTGGACCACGCTTTAAGGAAGCTCTTGGAGGGCCTGCTTGGGATTATAGAAATATTATTGAAAAGTTACAGGTACAATGAGAATATGAAATGACATTAATATTTTATAAATTATAATTTTTTTAAAGATGAATTTCACAAAGAAGATATGGTTGAAAATATTCTATTCTTTTTGGGGACTAGGTTTTATTTTACAACTCTTTACCACACTACCCTTTTAAATGCATAACTTTCAGGCAAAAGTTGTGAGTTGCTTTTTAGTGACTGTACAGTATTTAATATGTTCTAATATTGTAGTAGTGAGTAGTGATTCTTTTTTTTTGTACCAGGGATTGAACTCAGAGGCACTCTACCACTGAGCCATATCCCCAGCCCTATTTTATATTTTTATTTAGAGACAAGAGTCTCACTGAGTTGCTTTTGTTGAGGCTGGCTTTGAACTTGCGATCCTCCTGTTTCAGCCTCCCAAGCTGCTGGGATTACCAGCATGCACCACCACACCAGCTGAGTAGAGATTCTTAATATCAGAATAATAACCATAATGCCAGTACTGAAATTGGTAAAATAGTTGACCATATAGATTTATAGAATAAATTAAATATCCATAACCTTGCTTCAATTTCTCCCTATTATTTTATAACCTTTTGGGCAGAATGATCCAAGCACCTTTATTCACAAATTACTTGCGTAGAGTCTTCACTCATGCTTTTGGTCTGGACATTCTGGGATATTAAATGAAAGACATAATGTATTAGTTTGCCAAGGATGCTCTAACAAAAAACAAAAACAAAAACCATAGGTAGGGTGCCTCGAACAACAGAAACTTATTTTCTCACTGTTCTATAGGCTAGGGTTCAAGATCAAGGTTTCAGTAGGCTTGGTTTCTTCTGAGACTTCTCTCCTTGAATTATAAATGGCTAATTTCTCACTAGGTCCTCACATGGTTTTCCCTCTGCACATGTGCACATCTGTGCCCCAATTTCTTCTTGTTATAAGGACATCAATCCTATGTATCCTTATAACCAATCATACCAATCATATGTATCCTTATAACATGTATCCTTGGATTAAGTCCCGCTTATATAAATTCATTTTATCTTAATTACCTTTTAAAAGGCCCTATCTCCAAATAAAGCCACATTCTGTGGTACTATGAGAGAGGACCTCAACATATGAATTTGGAGGTGATGATTAGGTCATCAGGGTGAAAACTGTATAAATAAGATTTGGTGCCCTCCTAAAATAGGCCAAGGAAACTCATTTGGCCCTTCTACCCTGTGAGAACCCAGCAAGATAGCACTCTTGGTGAAGCAGGAGGTGGACCTTCATGCAATGCCAAATCTGCTGGTGCCTTGATCTTAGATTTCCCAGACCTCAAGATTATGAAAAATAATTTCTATCATTTTTAAGCATCCAGTTTATGATATTTTGTTATAGCAGCCTGAATAAACTAAAACACACGATAAAGCATTTGGATTTTGTTCCGAGTGATGGCAGGTTAAGAGATTTTTAGCAGAGGACAGACATGACTAGTGTATATTTAAAGAGATCTCTGTGGATTTGGGGTGGTGTTTATAGAATCCAGACATGGAAACAGTGAGTTTAGTTAGGTAGTTTGACATTAATTCAAGCAAAAGGTGATGATGGCTTGGTTTAAGAAGGAATTGGGGGGAATTTTAAGTTTGAGATGCCTATTTAGATACTTTAATGGTTGAGTCAAGAGAGGTAGGTAGATGTACACGTCTGGATTGGTGTGGGATGATGTTCATGCTGGAAATATAAATGTGGTGTTGCAACCGATACATGATATCAAAATCATAGAGTTGGATGAGATCTCTCAGAAGAAAATGTAGTCATAGAAGAAGACCAGGAGCTACCAGGGATTGACAAAGGAAAGGTCAGGACAGGACACAGGTGGAAAATAAATTGCAGTGTCACAGAGGCCAAGAGAGAAGACATTTCAGAGTAGAAACCAGTACATGAGATACTTTAGCAGTGACTCGGTTAGATGAGGACTGTGGAGTAAGTAACCAGAGATTATGACCACAGGTGATGATCATGGAGCACTGGTGTGCAGTCACAGTGATTACTAACATGTGAAATGAGTCCGTGGCCAGCATATTCTAGCCACTTCCTTTTAATCCCCCCAGCAAGCCCATGTGATCACTAGTATCATTCTCCCAAGTTTTCACGTGGGGAGAGTGACTCAGATTACATAGTTGATCCAAGATCAAAATCAGAAGTAAAGATAGAATTTACATCCTAATAGCCTGAGCACCATTCATTCAGTAAATGAAATAGAGAGAGGAGAAAAAAAATCCCTAGGTGTATTTCACTAAATATGATCACATATAATAAGCATGCCCTCTTCTCACCTTTATATAATCTCTGGTTTTCCCCTTGATGTATGGACTTCCTGCTCGTCACCTTTAACTGATGTCAGGAATTTCTCAGAAAGCTGATTTAGAATAGTAAGTAGAAATAATCACTTTTGCTGAAAGGTTAAGAAAGACTTAAAGATAAGTCAGCTCCTGAAATCTGGCCATAAGAAATCCAGAGGGTGGTGGCCCCGGATCTGAGTTTTTGTAGCTGAGAGTAACAAGAAGCAGTTTTCTGCTTAACAAAATATGCCACAGCTGTGGGTGGATAAATTGTTGCTTATGTGAGAAGATTTTTTTTTGTTTGTTTCCTAATGTAGTTTAAAAATAAAAAGGAGATGCTTTAACCATTAAAGAATGTTCAGGAAAGTATAACCGCTTCTAGTTTATTTAGAAACACATCAGTTAGGATGTTTCCAGCTTAAATATCACAGTGTTCAAATAAAATGGCTTAAACAATAATGACTGTCATTTCACGCAGCAGGAAGCCTGTGTGGCTTTCCCTGAGAGGGCTAATTCAGCAGTGGATAGGCCATGTCTGCTGGCTTTTGGCTTAAAGCTGATCTCCCAAGGCCACATGAGGGCTGGCTCCCTTGGATTCACACCTTTAAGCTCCCTGGAGAACAGTAGTTGGTTTCAAAAGATTCTTCCAGCTCCCAGCACATCTGCAGACTTCACCTGACATCTCATTGGCTGGGACTGGGTCATATAATCAGGCTAAGGTCAGCTGCTAGAGCCGGAGGTAGACTAGCTTAATCTAATCAACTTTGACCCAGAGCTGAGGGGTTCATCTCCTTAAGAATGTTGCTGCCAGATTCAGAAACAATATTCAGATTCTTGTAGCAAGAAAGGGGTGAAAATAGGCCATGGGGTAGGTGATGATAAATATAATTTGAAATACTATTGAATGTCATTGAACCCTTGTACTGTTATGCTTCAAATAATATATCAGTGGATTTTTCCATTGGAAGAAATGGTTAGTTCTAGATGACCAATGACACATCTTTTTTTTTTTAGCTGTACCCCCAATAGGCCTCCAATTTATTCCAATTTTTCATGATTCCTTTAAGTCCTAGACACTTAATGGCCTGTACAATGGCTTTAGTGAGTTTTATTCTTGTGTGTGTATTATTTAAAATCTTATGGTTACCCACCCTTTCTTTGTCTTATAAGTGAAAACAAAAACAAAACAAAAACAAACAAAGAAAAAAAACCTAGAGGCCCAGGCAGTACTTATACATAAAACCAGACTAGACTGATAGCACAGACATTTGGTGCCATAGGGAGATAGGGTTCATCTACTCTGACATTCCTGGTTAGAATTCTTAGGCTTGCTATGTCTTTGAAAGATGAAGTCTAACTTAGTCTTCCGATGGGTTCTCTTGTGCTTTGTGTCTTAGGATGTTGTGGCCTCCTTAGAACAACAGTTCAGCCCAATGACGCAGGCTGAATTCTCAGTGTTGGTTGATGTATTGTACAGTCCAGAACTGCTGTTCCCTGAAGGAAGTGATGCAAGAATCAGATGTGGCACGTTCATGTCCAAGTAAGTGGATTGGGTCTGAGATTCTGCTTGTTTCCCAAAGTGCGAAGGCCTCTAACATCTCTGTTTTTTTACTTATGACAATCTATAAAATCCATGTCAAAATATACTTTCCAAATAATTAAATTGGGTCATTTGAAGTTTTATTTTGGTGATGGTCAATTTATTCTATTGTACTAAAATGTACTACAAATGAAGTGTTTCATTATTGGGCACAAAATATCACACAAAATAATATTTTGGTTCTAATTCCTTCCTTTAACTATGTAGTGCAAACTTTTAAAAGATTCTTGTTTAAAGTCATTAATTTTCAGAGAGGGAAAGGAAGAGGAATTAACATTTATTGAGTTGTTACTATGTGTGCAATTATTACTTATTATTTTATGTTGTCAGCATAAACACCTTGAGAGATTGGGAGGTCAGCCTGTTACAGAAGTCAGTAAGTTGAGGCATAGGTATGCTTTAGGTAAATGAGCTATTAAGTGTTAGTCTCAGTACTTAGTCATGCCCATCATGATCCTCATCTGCAACTCTTCCATTTACTCCTTTATCTCAGCATTATTGAGGTCTTATCATAAAGCCCCTATGTTTACCCTAGACTATTCTTTTCTTAATGCTAAGTGGAAAACTCTCAGGGAGAATCTGCATGTATAAGCAGGTGTGAGAAAAAGCCTGGCTCCTGAAAGAAGAGTCATGTTACTGAATGATTTGCATTTCATTGCACATAGACTCATGATGCCCAGTCAACCAGGTGAAGTGGCTCATGTCTGTAATCCCAGCAACTCACAAAGCAGAGGCAGGAGGATTGCAAGTTCAAGGCCAGCCCCAGCAATTTAGTAAGACCCTCAGAAACTTAGCAAGACCCTGTCTCAAAATAAAAAGTAAAAAGGCCTGGGGATGTAGCTCAGTAGTAGAGCATCCTGGGTTTAATTTCCAGGACAAAAAAATAATAATAATGAGTTGGCCAGTCAGTTGCATGGTCTTCCAAAGAGAGTATATGGATGGAGAGTCAGTTGGATCAAGTGACCAAGTACCTTGAACATTTCCCATTCAGCTGTATCTTGTGTGGTTAAGGATATTGCTGAGAAAGATCTAGAAACCTTCTCCATTAACTTGGCATACTGAGGTAGAAATGGAAGAACTTGGGACACAAAAAGTGTGTTCCTTTTTTAACAAGTTCTGGTTAGGACTTTGAGAAAGCAAATAAGGAATGTGATGAGAAGAACTGACTCTAGGGATCATGTTGAATGCCACAGATGGTCAGAATTAAGGACTCTCAGCTCTAGACTCACTGTATCTTAGGGGGCTGGAGAACGTGTTCATCTGGAGAATTGCCAGTCTTCTGGTAAGTACCTTTAAGTGAGGAGGTTCAGAGTGTCTGCAAAAGTGATGACTGCTGAGAACATAGAAAGCAAATTCTAGGTAGAAGTATTGCCTAGTAACTCAATATAAAAACATGGTCTTAAAAATACCCTTCACCTCCTATGAACATATATCTATATTTAAAAAGTAGGTTGTCTTGCAATCTGTACATGTGGAAAAATAAGAATTTATACACCATTTGAATCAAATGTATGATATGTCAAGATCATTGTATTGTCTTGAGCAACTAATAAAAAAATGTAGGTTGTAAACTTGAGAACTTCAGCTCTGGTTAATTAATATCATACTATAGCTATAAGAGTGCGAATTTGACACCCTGGACCAGGGGTTCCAGAAGGCCCTCAAGCTAAATAGATCATGTTGCTCATTTCTGAGTTAAGAAGGGGCTTATATTGCTATGCATAGTGCTCTGGTAAAACCAGGTTGGGGAATGTAAGTTTGGGCCAAGGCCTAAGTGAACCTTTCTACTTTAAGTGAGTCTAATTCTTGAAATCTGTTGAATCAACAGGGGAAACTCTGGCACTCCGCTAAATAGGTCCTGTTTCCATTTTTGTAGAGTTTTAAGTCCATTTGTGTATTGCCTGTGAGCTTCTTTCATGCCACAATGCAGAGTCAATTGGTTGCCACAGAGATTATATGGCCTGCAAAACCTAAAATACTTACTATCTAATTCTTTAGATAAAAAGTTTATTGACTTCCTTGTCAATAACTGGGGTGTTGATAGTAGCAGCTACTAGGCACGGGTGGCTATTTAAATTGAAATTTAAGTCAATTAAAATAAAATGAAAATTTATTCCCTTAGTCTCATTTGTCCCATTTCTAGTGCCCAATGGCCTTGTGTGGCTAATGGGTATCAAACTGACAGCAGAGAGAGAGAAAATTTCTATTATCACAGAGTGTTAGATAGCAGTGGTCTAGAACCTGAAGGTATAGGCACAGCAGAAAGTGATATAAAGAAACTCAGGAGATCAAATAAATATTGCCCTGTTGTGAAGATGGAGACAAATCTGTGGCTCCATTAGGTAAACTAACAACAGAGGAGCACAAGGGATGTGATAATGGGAGCATATTGCAGACCCTACACCCAGAGGGAGGAAAAGGATATTGTACTTACTTTAGTGGGTAGCGAAGAGAGTTTTGTGTTATCACAACTGTATTACTGCCAGCGGCTCATGAATATCTGTTTTCTGGTCTAATGCTTATTCTGACCCCCTCTAACTCTGTGAAGGATAACAGTTTTGTTTTCAAGGAGATTTAACAAAATTAGAATTCAGTTTAGTTAGTACCATGCAAGTGACCTTAAATTTCTCTTCAGAGTGCTCTGGTGAAGCTTAGTTGGAAATGTAAAGTTTGGGCCAAAGTCTAAGTGGGCCTTTCTTTACTAAACTGAATCTATTTCTTGGACCCATTGACTCAAAAGGATCTCTAGGAGGATATGAAGAAGAGAACTGAGGAAAGGGCTTAAATTCTACTGAGTCACATAGAATGGGAATGAAGAGAAAAGGTCAATGTGGGTGTTCACCTGAAAGGCAGCTGTTTTTTGTCTATTCAGTTCAGCAACTGCCTCTCCCTTGTGAAGGAGAACCTCACTGTTTTTTTGAATTATGGGATCTAATCCATTTGTGGATTTTTAAATTGACATAAGTAGAGGTAACCAGCTAATTTTAAAAAATGAATTAGAAAATAATATAAAGCATCAGAGTACATCTCACAGTAAGGAGAAATTTGTGTCGACTTGTACTCACACACACGTTCTTATATACTGGGTTGTGAAATGTATTTACTACTTTGATCATAGAAAGAATATTTGAAAGCAACTTATCCTATCCAGCCAAACATCATGTGATACATTAATCCCCTTTACAAATTCCTAAGAAGTGAGAATTCAACCTTACGGTTAGTATTTTCAGTGTGATTTTACCTGAGGAAGATTTAAAGAAAATGTAAATATTTAGCCTGAGAGGGAGAAAATAATTTACAACATTCGCAAAAATTATTTTCATGTATTCATAGACTATCATGTGGAAGAAAACCAAAGAGGGAAAGTTTGAGAGAAGCAGACTTTGCTTTTCTTATAAGGAGAACTTTTGAACAGTTATTCTTTCTGCCTGTTGGACCCGACCACATGAAAACACACCACCTTGTCTGAAAGAAATCACTGTTACCTTCATTGTTTGTGCTGCCCCTTCAGCGTAAGCACGTATCATTTCAAAGTATTGCCACCCACATATCACCCAGTCTGTTCATTTTGGGCTTCTACAATCTACTCTTCTTCCTGGTCTTCCATCTCTCTGCCATTATTTACCGTGTTTGGCTGTGGCACTTCTGTATTGCATCTTATCCCCTTACCCTGTCACTTGCCCTGTCCATCTCTCACCTTGAGCTCATTCCTCTGCTTCAACATTCCCATTGCCTCCTGCGATGTCTTTCTCACACCTATGTTCTGTTCAGGCCCCCTTATAACTGGTGGTTTCCTATTTTCTCCAGAATACATTCCAGACTCTTTATCATACTATTCCAGTCCCTTCTTTCCAAACCACGTCTCTTATGTTCCTCCTCCAGGTCTTTAAGTCTTTGCTGGCAGTCAGTGCTCTTACCAGTTGCTGGACAGGATGGTTGGCTTTCTGCCTCTTCCTTTTGTGATCATGCTATTCCCTTTGCAGGGATGCCTTATCTTCCCATACTTCCCCGCCAGGTGAAATCTTCCAAGTGAAATGTTATTTCTTGACTGAAACTCGCTCTGATCAGCTCCAGATAATTCCCTGCAACAGAATGAAATGATTTCTTTGGTTTATGGCATTTGCCAATAACCTCTGTGGTGGCACTTATTTTATCGAGTGGCTGTGTGCCACCTGGTGTGTATCGAGACTCTTGCACAGCAACCCTGAAAATCAAGAGATTGGTGAACTATCGTATCGTGTTGCCACAGAGTGGTGCCAAGAATTTTGGCTCTGAAGTCGGAGGGACCCAAGTCTATTTCCAATCCCACCTCTAGAATGATATAATCAGAGGCAAGATATATTATCTTTCTGGACCTCTGTTTTCTCATTAGCAAAATTAGCCCAAATATGGAAGCTGTCTCACTGGCTTGTGGTAAGGATGAGTGGAAAGAATTCTAGAGAGTCCTTGCATTTGCCCTGGATACCTGATAATCACTTAGTGGCCATTAACTGGTGGCCACTCCTTTTTATTTTTCTCAGGGTTGTGTCCCATAGTACTCATATTATGTCACAGAAAGCAGAGCATTTCCTTGCAACCTGCAACCCTTGTTTCTCTAGGAAAACATGCTGAGCTATATATCCTGATGATAAACATTTGACTTTATTTTGAATCTGAGGATAGTCTACAATTGTGGTCCTGAAAAATCTCCAACAGAACTTCACCAGTGCATGTTCACCAAATAAAATTATGAGTAGAATTTTTGTCCAGATCATAGCAAAATAGCAAATGGATAGGCTGCCACGATATTACTTTAAAATTTTTTCCCTTCATGTTTAATCAGAAACTGCCTGTTTCTACTAAATTCTAGCTTGAAAAAATAGTACCATATTATTAGTGGACACTAGAAAGTGGCCTGTTAAACTAACATTACAATATTGTGTATTGCTGCTGCTACTGTATAGTTAATATAATATAGTACATACAAAATAATATGATAGGACATAATAAAATATACTACACTTATTCCTCTTTTCCAACACAACATAGATTAGTTGAGACTATTGGTGTTTCTTTCAGACATGGTGGTGTGTTTTCATGTGTTCGGGTCCAACAGGCAGAAAGAATAACTGTTCAAAAGTTCTCCTTACAAGAAAAGCAAAGCCTGCTTCTCTAAAACTTTCACTCTTTGGTTCTTTCTTCCACATGATAATCTTTGAATACATGATGTTTCCTTGTTTTTCCGAGTATTGTGTTCTACTAAAAGAATATTACCTAAAGTTTGAGAAGCTGAGATATACTGCCTATAAAACAAAAAGGATGTTTCATAATACAAAATTTATAAGCTGAAGTATAATTTTAAAGCTTTGAAAATGTATATTTGGTTTATTTCATATTCTTAAATTATAGCATTTTTTTTGTTTTGTATAGCATATGGTGTTCATATATAGCTTGAAGAGAAATCACTGTCCTTTTCTAAGGTTCAATGTTTTGCTTTAAGGTTGATTAATCATACAAAGAAACTAATGGAGAAAGAAGAAAAACTCTGCATTAAAATTCTTCAGACATTACGAGAAATGCTAGAGAAAAGAGACAGCTTTGTGGAAGAGGTATTTTTTTAAAAAAAATCTTTTAGTATATAAATGAAGTAAGATTTCCCTAGTGCTATAATCTATGGATTACAATAGGCTATTATATGATTACTTATATATTAATGGTATAAGTACTTATATGAGTTAGATAATTTGATTTTATATGGAATTCATCTCTCATGTTTTGTTTAGAGTTGAGAAATAACTAAAATTAGAGTGGCCTGAATATTTGGTTGATTTGGTTTAATATGGTCTGCCTTCATTATGTATGTTTTCTCCTTTTGGTTTCAGTAGACCAAATGAGCTTTTTAAACAATGAGTTATGGCATTATTTAGATTTCACATAAAGTTCTGACGTTTATTGAGAATGTCTGTGCATCTTGGCATCTGTTGATTTTTTTTAAATTATATGTATTATTTTTGATATTATACCAAATATTATAAAATAGTGCTTTTTAATAATTGGAGTAGTAAGTTTCTACTCTTAACTTTATTAAGTACTGCACAGATGATTCTCAGAGAAATAGCACCTTATAGATAATAATTGTCAGTCTATTATTAAAAATGACAGCTCAGGTGCTCATTAAGAGGTAGCTAGCAGCATGTTTAATACCCAAGGTGATAAAATATAAGTCTAGAGAAGTTTTTTAGCTAATCTCTCAATACTTTTATTTAGATATCAAACAAAATTGTACTATGCTTCTTAATAATTTTTTGGTCTGTTTCTATAAATACTAATCATCTGTATTTTAAAATTTTAAGGATTATGCTTATTAACTTATATACATTCTAATTCTGGAAAGATTGTAGTGTTTTTTTTTTAAATGCATTTCTGTAGCAATGAAAGGCTGTGGAATCTTGGTTACTAAAAGGAGGACTGTTGCCTCAAAATATTCCATTTGAATCTGATGTTTGCATCAGTAATCAAAATGCCTTCTCTTTTGCAATAGCTTCTTTTCATCATTCAAACTATATTTGGGAAACAAATTATCAAAATAAAGGGGTCAATGCAACTTTAGCAAATGTTTCTCTGACCTAGGACTCAAGAAAATGCTTACAAGTTTGAGTATATGTTTATATAAGTAGAGTTCCTTGGGATTTTTTGTTGTCTTTGATTCCTTGAGATACTGCTATAGATTATTTAATCTTGACTGAAATGCTAGGTCATAGAGTGAAAAATTAGGTCAATGTGAGTGTTTGGAGCTTTACAGTATTAATATCTTATATATATAAACAAAGAGACATGGCACAGCTTCCAATTACATATATGAATTGGAAGTGAATTTCACCATTGGGTACATCCAAAATAAATTAATTAAAAAATAACTATGGATAAATGGCAGAAAGATTAATAGAGGGAAGGGAGTGGGAGTAGAGAGAGGGAGGAGGAAGGAGAGGCACTGGGATCTGAATTAGAACAAGATATACTCTATGCTTTTATAATTCTGTCAAAATGGATTCTCCTGTCATATATAACTAAAAAGAACCAATATAAAAGAACATTATTGAATTACTCTAAGAAAATAGAGAAGAAATCAAGTAAGATTTTACTTTGACTAGTCAAGAGTACCTTAGTGTAATCATAGTCAGCTTTTAAAAATTTTGTATTCTGATGTTTAAAAAGGTTAGTACACTTTGCCCAAGAAACAAATTTATGGATCCAAATAGTTAGACATAGGCAGACAGAACATAAGACAGAATATTGTGTTCAAAACAGATCAAGTTTCAGATAGACCTCTAAGATAATTAAAGTTGGGGGAAATGCAGTCATTTAACTAATAGAAAAAATCTGGGAAAGAACATGTAAGTATCCTATTTCTTTCTTTCCATGTCTACTAAGGATAGAGTAGGAAAAAATGCAGATGAAAGAATTCTAATTCTTAGACACACCTTCTTGTTTCTAAGTGTTTTGGAGAAGAAGCATTTTTTTTGATAGTCATATATGACAGCATACCTTTTTTTTCATTTTATTGATTTATTTTTTAAATACACAACAGCAGAATGCATTACAATTCTTATTACACATATAGAGTACAATTTTTCATATCTTTGTATATAGAGTATGTTCACACCAATCCATGCCTTTATACATGTACTTTGTTTTTTTGTATTACAATTCTTATTACACATATATATCACAATTTTTCATATCTGTTTATATAAAAATTACGTTGACACCCAATTCGAGTCTTCATACATGTATTTTGGATAATGATGTCCATCACATTCCACCATCCTTGCTAATCCCCTCCCCCCTCCCTTTCCCTCCCACCCCTCTGCCCTGTCTAAAATTCATCTAATCCTCCCATGCTCCCCCTCCCTACCTCACTATAAGTCAACCTCCTTATATCAGAGAAAACATTCAGCATTTGTTTTTTGGGGATTGGCTAACTTCACTTAGCATTATCTTCTCTAATGCCATCCATTTACCTGCAAATGCCATGATTTTATTCTCTTTTAATGATGAGTAATATTCCATTGTGTATATGTACCACAGTTTCTTTATCCATTCATCTATTGAAGGACAGACAAGTTGGTTCTACAGTTTAGCTATTGTGAATTGAGCTGCTATAAACATTGATGTAGCTGCATCACTGTGGTACGCTGTTTTTAAATCCTTTGGGCTATAAATGGAGGAGTGGGATAGCTGGGTCAAATGGTAGTTCCATTCCAAATTCGTTTTTTTTTTTTTGGTCTTTTTTTTTGCATTACAATTCTTATTACACATATATACCACAGTTTTTCATATCTCTGTTTGTATATAAAGTATGTTGACACCCAATTCATGTCTTCATACATGCAGAATGTGATGGACGTCATTATCCAAAGGACAGCATGCCTTTATTTTATTTGTTTCATTTTTATGTGCTGCTAAGGATCAAACCCAGTGCTTCACACTCTAGGCAAGTGCTCTGCCACTGAGCTACAGCCCCAGCCCCAGGAGAAGCATTTCTACTAGTAGAAGCAGAAGATACCCCTGCACTGCTCCCTGCTGGAAGTTCTTAAGGAAAGAATATTAAATCTAAAACAATTCAAACATCTGTACTGTGGAAGAAGAGATAGGTCTAGAAGATCTCTAGGTATTGACAGTTGGCCCTCTTTAAATGCTTAGTGCCCAATTGCCTGTGCCAGAGGAGGGAAGTGTAATGAATAGGTCTTGGTGAAAGCATTCTGGGTAGGACTCAGAAACTGGTCAAAGTTATGGTGGGCTCTAAGAACCTGATTTTCAGTAATGGGATAATAGGTAGTTGTATTTTCAACTTATTCGTTGGCTTAAAACCACACAAATTCATTATCTTACAGAGTTGGATGTCAAAGGTTAAAATCAAGAAGTCAGCAGAGGTGTGTTGCCTCTGGAGATTCTAGAAGAGAGTTCATTTTCTAGGCTTTTCCTGCCTCTAGAGGCCTCCTTCATCCCTTGGCTCATGGGCCCTTCCTCCATCTTCAAAGCCAGCAGTGTAGCAGCTTCCAGTTCTCCTCCCCCTTGTTCTCTCCTCTGCCCCTCCCTCAACTGTCACATCTTCACCTCTGGCACCTTTATCTCCCTTTTAAGACTTGTGATTACAGTGGAACCACAGGAACAATCCAGTATACTCTCCCCTGTCAAGATCTTTCTTTCTTTTTCTTTTATTTGCTATTTTTTATTTTTTTATTTGTTTTAATTAGTTACACGTGACAGTACAATGACCTTGACATATCATACATTTGAATCAGATGGGATATAATATCTCATTTTTCTGAGTATACAGATTGCAAAATCACATTGGTCATGCATTCACATATATACACACAGTAATAATGTCTGTTTCATTCTACTATCCTTCCTATCTCTCCAACCCCTTCTCTCCCCTCCCATCACTTCTCTCTACCTAATCTAGGGTAATGCTATTCTTTTTTTTTTTTAATTAATCACGTATGCAAAATCCTTTTGCCATGTAGGGAAACAGGTTTGCAGGTTCTGGGACAAGGCAGGGGATCCTGAGGCCATGACCATCTTTGGGGAGGGCATGATTCAGTCCACCACGGTGATCCTTCTACTGACAGTGAGAACTTTCATCTAGAATATAGATTCAGTGCTTACCTGTGGCTGATGAAAATTACTATGTAGGATAGTTTAAATGAATATGACAAAAAGTGTTTTGAATTGATACTCCTTTGCTGTCTTCAAAATATTTAAAAATATTTTGCTACCTTTTGACAATTCAGGAGAGTACATAGAGCAGGCAGTGTTACCTCCTCATGGCAAATAGAGAAGGAGAGATGCAGAGAGGTAAGCTATGTTAATCATATAAGTTCCCAAATTCCTGGTCCTCTAACACCTCATCAACTGGATTTCTATTATTTGTGTATGGAAGCGTTCCCCAAAGGTTTCTCTGAATTAAATCAACACAGAAAACTCAAATCAGTGTTTTTCATTTTATCTCTCCTATTACATTTAAACTCTACCTATTTAAATGTAAAAATGTCAGTTGAAAAGAAAATCTCCATTTTTATTTCCTTGGTTCCTCTGGAGTTATAGGTAGAAACAAACTCAGTTTCTCCTTATAGCTTCTCTAGCAACACACTTCTGACACCAAGTGTGCATGGCGTTTTACCCACCCAGCAAGCAAGCAGTGCTGTAGCATCAATTAAATTCTGATACCATCGACCTGGAAGTAACGTGAGATCCCAGAGTTTGAGGGCTCAGTCTCCAAGACTGCTCCCTCTTCAGGAGTCACTTACAAGCACCAACTAGTTTTACTTACTTCTGACCAACAAGATATAAACTTGGGTTTCTATTACTCCCTCCTTAGGTTTGATTAATTTGCTAGAGCCCCTTACAGAATTCAGGAAAATGTTTGCATTTACTGGTTTATTGTAAAGGCTATTAACAAAGGATACAGATGAACAGCTCAGTGGAAGATGCACAAGACCAGGCATAAGAAACAGGGTAAAGACCTCCCTCTCTGAGCACTCCAATCTCTAAATGTTCAGCTATCTGGAAACTCTGAATCTCTGAACCCTGTCTCTCTCTCTCT